GAAGGGGGAGTGATGGGACAGGAGTAAACTTTTCAACCCCCTTTCTCTCTCTCCTCCAAGTTCATCATGCTCTAGACAAACAAGCTGCTTTATTTCTCAACATGCCACACTCCTCTGTACCTCAGAGCCTGGTACTTGCTGTTCCTTCTGCCTTGATTCTCTTCCTTCAACTCATCTTCTGGCCAGCTCCTCCCTCTTCGGGTGTCACTTCCCCAGAGAGACCTGCCCTGACAGCTCTGGCTAAAAGGGCCTTCCCAAATTACCCCTCCCACCTCTCTGTTAATTACAGTGTAGCACTTGTCACAGTTGGCCCGCATCTAGTGTGTCCGTCTCCCCCGAGGAGCAGAGACCTTGCCTGTCTTGTTCACCGTGGCAGCCCCGGTACCTGTCATAGTGGCCATCATGTAGAACGTACTCGAAAATGTTCAGTGGATGAATGAGGGGCAGAGCGGGAGAGAGGAGGAGTGTTTGGGGTCATGTGAGAGGAAGGAAAGGGAGAAACGGGATGGGGGGGGGGATCGTGGGATGGGAAATAAGGTTGCAGAAGTAGAGGAATGGCAGAGGAGGCCCTGAAGGGCAATGTGGGTGAAAGCTTGGGAAAGGGAAGAGAGCGGGGCAGGGGCTGGGACTGGGCACTAGCCGAGAGCGAGACGTCACCTCCTCTGGAGACAGAGTGAGACAGACCTGATCCTCAGGCAAGTGTGAGACCCACATGAATAATGAATGCAGGTGCCTCCCCTGAAATCCAATCTCTGGCCCCAGCCCAGCCTCTTTGCCCTGTGCCCACGTCCTGCCCAAAGCCACAGCTACCACCCCACCCTCTGGGTGGGACATTTTCTCCTTTCAGCCCAGGTCCTCCACCACTCATGTGAAGGGGCACTGCCCTAGGCATCTGAAGAGCAGGACTGGACCCAGGCCCTGCTACTGACCAGCTGAGTAATGGACTGGGATTCCTGAGTTACTCTGCCTCTCTGAGCCTCAGTTTCTTCTTCTGCGAAATAGGGACGAGCGCAATGCCTGCCCTCCCTCTCCGATGGCTATGGTAAAACCATAGACTGTAGAGCGATGGGCATAATGATGTACTAGAGCGGTCGGGGAAGTCCTTCCTATAGTCTGGCCTCTCCCTGATACCCACAGTCCTGCCCACCTTGATGGTCAGCATGATGTGTGTTTGGCCCTTCAGCACCTCCACGGCCTGGCTGTGGCTGATGTCGTCGAACCTGACGCCGTTGGCCGCCAGGACCTGGTCCCCCACCTTGATGCCATTCTCCTCGGCCAGCCCACCGCGGTCCACTCTGGGGTCAGACAGGAGGCGGTCTGGTCGGCTGCCTAGCCTGCCCTCTCTCACCCTAGTCCAGACTCTCTTCACTCGGATACAGGGATGCCCCAGCCAAACTCCTTGGCTCTCCTTCCGGAGCCCCCCACCCCTCTCCAGACCCCACCCCTGACCCAGGCCCTCCTTTGGACATGTCCTTGGCCAGGCCTCGCTTGTTGATCCCCGCCCACTGCATGCCCCGCCCAGCCCTCACTTGGACACATAGATGCCCAGGCCGAACTCCTTGCCCCCGCGGATGTTGAAGCCCAGACAGAAGTCATCTGACGTGGTGTACAGGTGGACGATGCGCCGCACGCCATCCTCCGAGCCGCTGTCAGACGGCGTTGATCGGCACTTCTCCACCACCAGCCGCCGGTTCACCACATCCACCCTGGGACAACAGCAAGGGGCCCTCGACCGGGGCCCCCCATCCACCACCACCCCCCCCCCTCCTCCCAGCATCCTTGACAACCGCACGGGAAAGGAGAGGTTGCCTTGGGGGACTCCCCAGCCCAGAGACGTTCAGTGGGATGTAGATTTCGCCAAATTTGGAAAACGACCTGGATCTCCTCTTTTTACGGAGCAGCAGCTCCATGTGCCCGTTTCCAACTCCCTACAAGAGCCCTGAGGGGGAGATGCTGTTACCACCCCCAGGCTCACAGCAGAGGCCTGGCGGTGTTGGGGGCAGGGCCGCTGGCCTCTGGGATAGCAGGGTTGGGAGGAGGGCTGGGGAGAGACACGGCCTTGTCTTATTTCAAGGTCAGGCCTTGGGTTCCCTGTGTTTCCGGTGCCCTGGGTGGAGGGAAGAGCAGAAGCCATACTAGTCAAGTTCCACGCAGAGCCCTGTGACCTCGGCCTCTCCTGCGGCGGGGGTGGGGGTGGGGGTGGGGGAGGGGGGCTGGATGGGGAGGGGAAAAGCCAGGGCTGGGGCCAGGCGTTCTCACCACGTGGTCTTCTCTTTGGAGAATTTGATGCCCGGCACTCGGCCCATGCGCCTCACCATCATGTGCAGGCGGCTGCTGCCAGTCAGCACCTTCACGGCGCTGCCCATGGTGGTGCTCTCCAGGCTCAGCCCATTCACCTCCGTGATCTTGTCCCCCACGCACAGGCCGGCCCGCTCTGCACCAGGGGAGGGGCGTGGCTGGCAGGGCACACTTGGGAGAAGTCCTCCAGGGTGAAGCTAAGCCTCCCGCCACCACACAAGGCTCCCTGGGGTAAAACTTCTTCTGTGAAATTGGGGATCCCCGGGTGAGGTCTGAGTAGTCCTTATGAGACTAGGGACCTGTCCATTAGCCCACTCCACCCTGGGAGGGGGCCCCATGTCCCCATTGGATCGGGCCCTCCAAAGCTGAGGACCCTTTCCTCCCATCCCTGATAAGAGCACCATCCTAAGCCAGAACCTCGCTCCTGGGAGCCCTGCTCACCTGCACTGCTCCCCTCCTCCACCTTGCTGACGAAGATGCCCAGGCCATGCTCCGAGCCGCCCCGCACACTGAAACCCAGTCTCCCTGCTGGACTCTTCTCCACCCGGACCGCATGGATGATGTCGCTCTCATCACTGTTGGCTGTGTGGTGGTGTGGGTGGGAGGGACATAGGCATGACTCCCATGTCCTTTCTGGGCACAGAGGGCCCCTGGGTTTCCCAGGTTGGGGCCTGCAAAGGCTGGGTTTCTAGGCAAAGATACCTAAAGCTCTAAGGCCTGAGGGCAGCCAATTTCTGAGTTCCCTATTGGTGGTTTTGAGGCCATGGGCCAGGGAGAGTGTGGGAATAGGCAGGACAGGACCCCACAGTAGAAGCCACTGTTCTCCTTCCCTTATATAGGTGTGTGTGCGTATGTGTGTGCGCGCGTGCTCGTGTGTGCAGGTGTGTGTGTGTTTCTAATGCTTACTCAGCTTCTCACACCCACAGGCCTGAGATAGGACAAATTCCTAAAAATCCTGTCACTCTGAGAGTCAGATGGATAGAGAAGAGGTTCAAGATTCCATTCGATAGGGCAGAGTTGAGCAAATTTGGGCTCTTCAGCTTGCACAGAAATGAGTATGCTAATCTTCAAACAGTTGAAGAGCTATTCTGTGAAAGGCATTAGATGTTTTTGTTTGTGTAACCCAGAGGACAGAACCAAGCCCGAGATAGAGGCTATCTATCTAAAACCTTCAGCTGTCAGACAATGGAATGAGTTTTGGAGAGATAATGAGTTCCCCATCTTTGGAGGCATACAAGCTGACCCCTGATAAATCCCTGTCTGGGATATTGTGGACGGATCCCCGAGGCTCCTTCTATCTCTTCAACTCTGTGATTCTGGAGGTAAGGGCTCTAGGAGCTACTTGACTATATGTGGAGAGAAACCCAAAACACCACTATGTTGCAGCATGTGCCCAGAGCTCAGAGGGGTCCTCTCCATCAGTGCTGGGGAAAGTCAGGGGAGCAGGGTCCCTAGGGGCTGGAGCTGTCAGGGAAAATGATTTGGAAGACTGAGATGAGTGGGATTTGGTTGGAGGGGGGGAGCAGAAAGGGAGGGCACTAATGAAGAAGGGGATGGAGTGAGTAAAGGCACTGCGGTGGGTCCTTGAGAAGGCCTTTGGTTAGAGAAAAATAAGAAGACTGCAGAGGGAAGCTAGGTCTCAGGTGAGAAGGTGAGAAGACGAGATTTCCTCTTGAACAAGGCTTACTCTAGAGGTGTTTGTGGGGGACAAATCTGTCTCTCTGTCTCTCTCTCTCTCTCTCTCTCTCTCTCTCTCTCTCTCTCTCTCTGTGATCTAAGAGAAATCAGGTTACAATACATGAGCAGAACAGCTCAGGAAGAAATCTCCAAGGGCAGCCTGTGGGCATGGATGGTGTAGGACAGAGATGTGCGATATTCTAAGGCTTCCTGGCTGTTTCTGACTGTATAGGTCTCAACCCAGCCAAGGAGTCTATTGCTTTCCTGCCCCGCAACCCTCTTTCTTCTCAGGCCCTCCCTGGGGCCTTCCTAGGGCCCTGAGCCAGGGGGATGCCACACTGGGGTTTTGAGCATAGGAGCTTGGGGCCTCTGAGGATGGAAACTTCTCTACCTCCACTACCCTAGCCTGGGCCACCGACCTCTCCCTCTAGGCACTCACAGCCTCCTCACTGTCTCCCCACCTCCATTCTTGCCTCGTTTAGACCATTCTCTACAGTGGCCAGAGCCAGCTTTTACAGTAGACTGCTTATTGAGAACTTCAATGCCTGCTCCGGCTTCTAGAAGGAACTCCGCAGCCCCCCATGCCCGGTAAGGCCCTCCATGGGCTGTCCTCTGCCCACCTCCCTACCCTCACCTCTGGCCACCATCCCTAGCCTCACTGAGCTTTGGCCAAGCTGACCTCCTTCCTGTTCCTCTCATGGGCCAATCATTTCAGTGTTCCCTCGATCCTTGATACTCTTGTCCAGACTTTTGTAAAGCCAGCATCTATTCTGCAGCCCCTCCTGGCTCAGACACCGCTTTCTCGGAGAAGCCTTCCTGGACTACCCTACCTGAAGAAGTCCCTTCCCTTCTTCCCAGATGGTCTCTATTAGAGCGGTTCTCAAAGCATGCTCCCCAGACCAACAGCAGCAGCGGCACCCAGGAACTTATTCAAAAAATACGTATACCTGGGGCACCTGGCTAGCTCTGTTGGTACGACATGCAACTCTTGGTCTTGGGGTTACGAGTTCGAGCCCCAGGTTGGGTATAGAGATCACTTCAAAATAAAGTCTTAAAAAATTACATAACAACAATGTGTGCTCTTGCTCTTCGCTGCAGACACAATGAATCAGAAGCTCTGGGTGTAGGACCCAGCAACTTGTCTTTTAACAAGCCCCCCCACCCCAGGCAATTCTGATGTATTCCAAAGTTTGAGAACCGCTACTCTGTCGTACCATCCAAATTAGTACCTCCAAGATTCTTACCATCCTTTCTCATTATTTGCTTACTCATATGTTATTTATTCATATACTGATTATTCATATTTTATTGTCTGTCTCCTTCCACTAGATTGTAAACTCAATCGTGGTAGGGACTTTGTAATTCTTTTCTGCCAATATATCTCCAATGTGTTGCGCAGCACTTGATATCTGCTAAGTCTTTTTTGAATGAGTAGAAGAATAAAGGGATGAATGAGTGAATAGACCAATGAACAAGGAGAGTGAAGAGAAAGGGCTGGTTTGGATTAGAGGATGCATTTCCTTTGGGACCAGCTGAGTTTGCGGAGCTGGTGGGAACCCGTGGGGGTGAGGTGGGTAGCAGTTTCTCCCTTCCCACTGTCTCTCCCTTATCAGCTATTTTAGGCCTCTGGAATGGTGTGAATAGTAACAAGGGGGAGAGGTTCCAGGCTTCGGTGAATTGGGAGATGTTTGTGCTCAGGCAGAGGGGGAAGATTCTGGGTTCAGAGCTTCCCAGCCCAGACAGGGTAGGGGCTGGCAGGTCAGAGCAATGCCCCAGTCCTCCCATTGCTGGGAGACCCTGCTCTCGGCTGCACCAGGGCTCTAGGGTGAGGCAGAAAGAGAGAGCAATCCTGGAACTTCTGCAAGAGGATCTTTAGCAGGACAGTGGACGGAGCTGTTACATCGTAGCTGGGCATGGTGTGCGTGGTTGTGAAGGGCAGGTAAAACATAGTTATTTTAATACAATGGGACTTACAAGGGTCCTGCCCCAGTGCCTTCCCTGTCCCCTACCATGTCTCCTAGCTCCTCTGAGGACTTCTGCTCCATGACCCGAATGACAGTGCTGACCCTCAGCAGTGCCCTACAGCTCACCTAGGGGTGAGGCCCATCATAGTAGATGACGGGGGTGGGCATGCTGGGCCACTGAGGCAGGAAAGCCTGCTGCCTGAGCAACATGGCTATCCCTGCCCCAGTGGCCCAGGGAGGAGAACAGAGATGCCCAGCTGGGTCAGAGGGGAGGAAGAGGGTCTGAAAAGCCCACTCTGGGATCCAGCCAGGGGAGTTCTGCTCGCTGAGAGACAAAGGGGGAGCTGGAGACATTTATGGCATCTGGCCCGCAGAGAGCCCAACCCCAGGGGGGGTCCCCATTCCCCATGGGCATTCAAGGTCCTGCCTTACTCACTAGCTCTGTGTCGCCACACATCTGTCACTGCAGCCTGGCTGTCTCCTAATTGCATCCCCCCCCCCCCCCGCAACTTGTTTTCCACTTCCAGCCTTGTCTGGGATACCTCTACCCCAGCAGCGGCTGTTCTCATTGCTCTATCTCTAAGCTCTGCTACCCTGTAAATTTCTGGAAGGTGACGATTGATCTTTATTTTTCTCTAGGTCCCCTACAGGACCTAAGCAGGGCTGGTATAGAACAGGAGTGCAATGAAACAGCATTGAGCAACTACAGAAGATTAGGTACACCCTGATTAGGTACCAGGGCTCAGTCCTGGGGCTCCCTTCCTGACCCTCAACCCTCCTCTTCTCCCCACTTTTTGGAACATTTGCTGCTCTACCTCTATTTCTTTTCTTCTGCATCTGAAATCTTTTATTATTATTATTATTATTATTATTATTATTATTATTATTTACTTGTTTTTTAATAATTTTTTTTAACGTTTATTTGTTTTTGAGACAGAGAGAGACAGAGCATGAACAGGGGAGGGGCAGAGAGAGAGGGAGACACAGAATCTGAAACAGGCTCCAGGCTCTGAGCTGTCAGCACAGAGCCTGACGCGGGGCTCGAACTCACGGACCGTGAGATCATGACCTGAGCCGAAGTCGGACGCTTAACCGACCAAGCCACCCAGGCGCCCCTATTATTTACTTATTTGAAATCATCTGTATACACACAATGGGGCTTGAACTCATGACCTGAGATCAAGAGTCGCACGCTCTCCTGAATGAACTGGTCAGGGGCCTCTGCACCTGAAATCTTAAATTCTGTCTGCTCAGTTGGGCACTGACTCCTCACAGCCCCGCACTGAGCTGGTCACACAATGGGCTGGTTGATGGGGTTATATCATTCTCTATCCTGCCCCCACCAAAGGCATACACAAAGGGATTGGAGAAAGGCAGAGTCCATAGGATGGAGGGGCCAATTCAGTACCCTATCTTGCTCACTTGGGGGCTAGCATACCACACACACACTTTTCCGTGCCTCCGGGCTCCTATCTCCCACCTCTGACCTCTCTACAGCCCTGCAACACTAAAGGATTGGCCTAAACATAAGGAAAGGGTTTTTAAGGTAGAGTATAAGGGTAAACAGAGACCCTCCACCTCCCACATCCTTAAGACTCCCATCTCTTGGGTTCCTCCACCCGTATTGGCTCTGCCTCCTCCTACTTAGTGCTGCTGCCCCTTACCCCCACCCTTAGCTCCCGGCCCAAGCTGGGCCCCGCCCCCACCTTCGATGGGAGAGTTGATGAGGATGACACGGCCCATGGGCGATGAGGCTCGGATTCCGCGGGGGGGCCCATTCAACAGCCGCTGCTGCTGCTTCCTCAGCAGGTATCGCGTTGCGGAGCCCGAGTCGCTGCCCAGGTGGCCTCGGGAGGAGAGGGAGCTCAGAGAGCCCGAGCTTAGGTCTCCAAGGCCCAGTGGGTCGAAGCCCACCGCAAAACTGTGCGCCATTGTGGCTAGACTGGGGCGGCGCCCTACAGGTCCAGAAAGAATCTGCTAGCCCTGGAGCAAAGGGCCCCGCGTGCCCCGGGCTCCATGAGCCTTCCGTGCGGGACTGGGGTCTCAGGGACCGGGAGCCCCCCACCTCCGTTGCCTCACAGCAGTGTGCGCTCCAGGCCTGCGGAGGGAGAGCAGGGGTTGGGACAAGGGTGTGAATGTTGCCCTTGCTGCCTCCCAGAACTTCCACCCCTCGCCCTGATTTGAGCTTCCTGCCCTCCCATGCCCTAGGGCCCTCACGTCTCCCACCCCTGGCCCAGTCCAGGCACCATCGTGGATTTTCGGAGTCATTTCTACAACGCCAGTGGGAACCTCTCATTCACCCCTCATTCCTGCTCTCAGCTGAGTCATCCACCCCAGTGACCAGTTCTCAGTAGAGGCTGAGAGAGTGGAGATGGATTCTTGCGGGCCCTAGGGTTTCAAGCGGTGTGAGAGAAAGTGGGGGCAGGACCAGTCACTGCACGCCTTGCCTTGTGTTTGTGGGCAGGGGGCTCATGTCTCGAGGCAGGGCGTCAGGACCTGGGACAGCTGCAGCCAATGGCCCCGGAGATTTCCCGACCGCCACAGATCCCTTGGCTCCAGGCTGCTGTCCCTCCCACCCCCTCTCCCGTCGAAAGGGGTTGCCTCAACGTCTCCCAGGCTTGCGGGGAGGACCTGCTGGCTAGAGTCCCACAACATCGCGCCCCAAACCCGGGGCTAAGTCCCCCAGAGCAGCTCTGGGACTCAGAACGCAGCATGCCACCCTCGGCCCCCACCTCTTGAGCTTGGCCCCCCTCACCTGCTTGCTGGTGCGGCGGCCGCCGGCCTCGCCAGCCGGTGGGCGCGGGCGCGAGCTCTTGCAGCGTCCGGGGAACCCCGCCCACGCTCCGCCTAGCTGCTGGAACGGGGCTGGCCTACGTAGCCCCGGGCTCCCATTGGCTGCGAGGGCCGCCAGTCACTCTCTCCGCCCCCTGTTTCGGGCGCTCGGGTCAGGCGTTCGTCACCTGGGCTGAGACCCCCTGCAGTTCGAGTTCTGCTGCCCCTCCACGCCCCCACGAATTTAGGGTTTGGGTCACGCCTCGCCCCCTCCCGCTACCGGCTCAGCGCAGGGGAGCCCAGAACCGCGTCTTCTCCAGGCCAAGCTAGATGCTAGGGCTCGCAATTGTCACCCCTTCGCGTCACCTGTGAGGCCTCAGTGAAGGAATGTCACCTGGGCAGTGGGGGCGTGAGCATGCGGTGGGCAGGAGCGTGGGCTGGAGCCTGGGCGTGCGGCAGGCGTGCCCTGTAAGGTGACTGGGTGAGTTGTGAAGTATATGTGTGGGTGGGGGGGGGGGGGGGGGGGGGGTGTGTCTGAGTGTTGACTTCTTTCTCATGCGTCTTCCTTCTATGTCACAACGTGTCTCTCTGGCCCCTCAGTTCTGGAAAGGGGACAGAGTGGATCACTGGTTCCAGGACACTAGGGGGAGGAAGAATCTTTCTGAGCCACTTGCTTGATGCAGACAGAGCTACCTTGAGCCTTCTTCCCCTACACCTCCCAGGGCAGGGACTGGGGCTAGGTCTGTGGTGCCGGGATAGGGATCGGGGACGTAAGGAAACTGGGACCTAGTGGAGCTAGGTAAGGAGGGGGCTGGAGGAGGAAAAGGGTGGGGACATAGAAGGGCCACAGGCACGAGCGGAACGAGATTGTGGAGGACTGCGAATGCCCAAGTGCTGTGAGAAGAGCTTGTGGGAACTGGGGTAGGAGCCCAGGGGGCCAAGTAGGCAAAGGCCACTGCCAAGGCGGCCATCTAGTAAACAACCCAGGCGGTAACCCGAGTCCCTCCGGGCGCGCCATCAGAGGATGGCCCCTCCACGCCGCCAGCCTTCGTCCTGCGCCCAGGGAGCCTTTGCCCTGGGCACCTAGACGCGTTGCTGCCGAAGCCGGGTGCCTCCCGAGGCCAGTCAGGGGACTGCAAGCAAAGGGGGCAGCGCCCACGGCTCCTCCCCTCCTCTCTAGGCCTGGGGACGGGCCAGAACCTATTTCCCGAGCCCTGATTGGCTTTGGGAGGCGGCGTAGAGCCAGCTCCCTGCAGCCGGGGCTGGGGGCGTCGCCCCAAATGGCACCCACCGCCCCCAGGCTCTGCCAATCCCTGGGCACGCCCGGCGGACGCGCGGGGGTTGCCCCCGCCCCTCCTGCCTGTCAGCGTCACGCGTGACGTTACGCGTGATGGGTTGGGGGGGCGGAGGCAGGGGCGACGCGCCGAGAGAAAGGCGGGTCCGGGAGCTGCAGAGGCCAGAAGCCCAGGAGCTCAGCAAAGCGTGAGTGCTGGCTGTCCGGGGCGGGGTTCGCGGGGTTCAGGGGAGTAGGAGGTTGAGGGCTGAGAGGGAGGGAAGCCTGCCTTGGGTGTGCTCTCTGTCCTACCCGGATTCAGTATCTTCGGTTCTAGGGAGGTGCTTGGGGCACGAGGGGAGGTTGGCTGGTGGGAGTAATGTCAGGGTGGGGCCTTATGTGGTCACACATTCCCGTGTCTGCAGTTGATGGATATGGGGGGTGTGTGTGTGCGCGTGTGTGTGAGTGTGCAAGTAACGGTCTTTGTGGGCTAGTGTATGCAGTGCGTGTCCGCCGTTTGTATATCTGTGTAGGGCATGTACGTATCTTTGTATGTGGGTATGTGAGTGTGAGTTTGTGAGAGAGGGGAGGGTGTCTCCTCCAGTGCGGGAGGAAGTGCGGTTGGAGAGGATTAGTCATATTGTAGGATTTTGCCTAACACAGCCAGCCGGCTGCTTCAAGCTTTCTTCTTGGTACTGGGTGGAGAGGGCACTTACTGACTCCTCCTTTCTAGACGTAGGTGGCTTGGGGAGAGATGGATGGGTGTCTGTGCCAGCCCTGCCCAGCTGGGGAACAAGGAGGGCCTTGGGCCATTCAGTGTGGGTCGAGAAAAATGCCCCTGGAGAGGGGGACTTGTGCATGACTGCGAGCACGCATGCTTGGCTGGCATCAGAGTCCCCTATTTGAGATCTGGAATAGATAAGCCCTGAAGTAGCCAGTGAGCCCTTGTTCTCCTCCAATCAGGGGCTGGGGTGTGGGACGGCTTATGCCATCTTCCCAGACAGCCTTGGGGGTTTGTATCTAGGTCTTAAGGCAGCTGGGCCCTGAAGCTGACCTGAGCATGCCTGTATAACGCATATAATACACACTTTTGTGCACACAGAGCACAAGAGTAGCTGCATAGGATTAGTTGCTGCTGTTGCATCAACCATACACGTGTAAATCTCACTGATGAAAAGCTGCACAAGGCCAGGGTGCAAAAGAGATCTGTTTTTTCTGGTTCTGTTTTCCCCTGCCCCCTCCTCCAATGGCTGCAGGTCTCTGAGCCAGGGCCTTGCCTGGAAAACAACTCCTCCCCCCAACCGTTGCTTACCTATCTGGAGTCACCTTGAGCTCTAGAAGGGGTTGGTGACAGGCCCAGGGACCAGGGCAGAGCCGCCAGAGGCTCCCGCAGGTAGAGCTCTTGGACTCCCTCCTTGGAGTCCTCCGATCCTGATCTTTGCTCTGCAGAAAATGGGGGAGTTGCCCTTAGATATCAATATCCAGGAACCTCGCTGGGACCAAAGCACTTTCCTGGGCAGAGCCCGGCACTTCTTCACCGTTACTGACCCCCGAAATCTGCTGCTGTCTGGAGCACAGCTGGAAGCTTCCCGGAACATCGTGCAGAACTACAGGTAGCCCGCTGCCCCGTCCGAATGAGACCCTGGGGTACTCATTCCCTGCCATTAATATGGTACCTTTTGCATCTATCTCCTCAAGTTTGAGAGTGACCTTGTCCCACTCCTTGACCCCCTTACTCCCTAGGTCTATATGTTGGAATCACAGGCACCTATGGCACAGCGCTTCAACCCAGAGAATTTCAGGGTGTTTGGGTTGAGGAGGTGGCGTTGATATTTGTGGGTGGGGGGGCTGCTGTATGTTTCGCAACCCTCCACAGGGTCCTGTCCCACTGCTAGGCCCACCCTCTTCAAGGACAGATGGGGCTCAAAGTTGAGTCCCAAGGAGATAGGAGAGCACCCCCTCGTCCCCAAGAGGAAATACCCTTGAGACGCCCCCAGCCATTTTTGACCCACTGGAAACTACCATTACCCATGACCAGGCATTTAGGCAGAAACAGAAGGGGACCCTTCTTTATGTGGCTAGAAGGAAAATGGAAATAGGAGCCCCTCTGCCCTTCTGGAAGATTTGACTCCCCCAGAGACAAGGAGCTCCTTTATTCTGAGACTCAGGGCCAAAGTTCCTGGTCCTCTGGCCAGACTTTCCCTGAGCTAAGTGGTCAGGGCTGGTGGGGGCAGATCTGCCCCTAGAATTGCCTGTCTGTTCCCTGACATTCTCTGCAGGGCCGGCGTGGTGACGCCAGGGCTCACTGAGGACCAGCTGTGGAGGGCCAAGTATGTGTACGATTCTGCTTTCCATCCGGACACGGGGGAGAAGGTGGTCCTGATTGGCCGTATGTCAGCCCAGGTGCCCATGAACATGACCATCACTGGCTGCATGCTCACCTTCTACAGGCAGGTCCTGCCCCGTGTGTCCCCTCCCCGAGCACTCTGTCCAAGCTAGAGTGTAGCCTGATGGCTAGGTGAGGCCAGTTTGGGCAGAAAATAGTGGGTGAATGAGAGCTTGTGTTAGAATCCCTCACATTCCTCAGAACTCAGCCCCAGGGCTCCTCCCACCCCAGAGACAAGTGTATGTGGCCGTGTCAGTGGGGAGGGTCGTGCAGAGGTCACCGAAGCAAGTTCTAAGGTCATCAGCTGGGTCCCTCCTGAGGGTTTGGGAATAACCTTTAGGGTTTCTTTATTAGGGTTTGAGGATAAGGGACACTGTAGCAGGAGCAGCAGTAAGTGTCTCTATTCCCTCAGGAAGACCCCGACCGTGGTGTTCTGGCAGTGGGTGAATCAGTCCTTCAATGCTGTTGTTAATTACTCCAATCGCAGCGGCGACGCTCCCATCACTGTGGGGTGAGAGCTCATCCCCTCACCGGGACTCCTCCCCCCCCCCACTCTCTCCCTGCCCTGGCCTCCCCAGGCCTACCATTGCTCCCTCTTGTCTGCTCCTGTTTCTGAGTGCTCCTGCAGCCAGTGACTCAACTCCCTCCCCTCAGCCCGCCCCTCTCCCCACTCTCCTGGCCTGAGGGCTTGGGGTCCTCTTGCCTGTGCTAAGGGAGGCCCTGTCTGAGGGATTGGAGCTTCCAGGCAAGTCTATGCTCTAGCAGGGGAGGAATTTCTCTGCCCGTCACGCCTCGCGTATTGAGGATTTAGACGTGTCCCTGAAGGAAAGAACCACACACTGGACTGTTCACCTCCAGCCTTGTGTCCTGCCTCTTCCACCCACAGGCAGCTGGGAACAGCTTATGTGAGTGCCACCACTGGGGCCGTGGCCACAGCCCTGGGACTCAAATCCCTCACCAAGGTAAATGCCCCCCCCCCCCCGTTGTACTGCCCCCTCACTCACCCTTGATCTGTCTCCCTCTTCCCCATCGCTCGTCCACACCAACCTACAGGCTCCCCACGTCCCTCCCCAGAGTTCCTCGCCACTCCATGGCCCTTAGGACCACTAAATGATATATTTCCTCCCCCCAGCACCTGCCCCCCCTGGTGGGCAGATTTGTCCCCTTTGCAGCTGTGGCAGCTGCCAACTGTATCAACATCCCCCTGATGAGGCAGAGGTGAGTGGCTCCAGCTCCTGGCATGAAGGCCCAGCGTGCAGGTAGGCACATCATCCCGTCATGCCGACTGGCCCATGGTGGGGACCGTCCTCTCCCTCTCCAAACAGAAGCTTCTGGGCACAGTCTCAGTCTGACTCTGGGATCCTAGAATGATATCTGAATCTGTGATATCTGACGGGACCCCAGGGAATAGCTGCCCGT